GTTTTGGTCTCTCCGATATATACCGGTGGTGCACAAATGGCACGGATCACACGGGTCACACGCGAATCACACCTACGGTCAACGAAAATCGTGAGCAGGAGCGTATATTATACCGTGGGGTAGAATGACACTTGCATACGTAATAATAGCGTAAAGCCGAGGGGTCGTCCTGTCCTTTAGCCAGCCGGCCGGTCCTTTTATGCAGGAATTTTAGTATAAAGCTGACGAAAATCACAGGCCGCCGCGGTTGCGATTCTTCCCTCGGTCGGTGGTTTCGCCCCTCGGCCACGGCACGGCACCCAGCCTGCCGGAGAAAATCCAAATGGTCATCGTAAATAGAAAATCCGTTTTTTCCTACGGCTCGACTGCGAAATGCGGCCGAGTTTATTCTCTCCCGGCAAAGCTCTCCGCGCGTCGTTTTAGGGTGACACCACGAGAAACCACCCCTGAGAACGCGATCGAATAACCGTTTCTCAAAAGTCGTAACGCCTTCTTACGTCTCCATCATAGATATTCCGTCATACATTCTTTTTCTCGACGTCGCGAATACTATACCGTGTTCATCTCAACTATTATTATTATTATTATTATCATCGTCGTCAATTATCGATAGTCGAGTCAACGAAAAGACCAATCACCTGTTCGATGTACGCGCCGCGCACGAGTTTAGCACCGAAATAGAAGTTCTGTCGTTCGGCCTGTTCCAGATCAGTTTTCACTTCATTAAACGCCTCTTGCAAGTATGTCTGGTAAGTGTTGAACACCACGGCCTAGGAAGTAGACCATTTTTGCGTTTAGACCACTGAAAATTTACTAAGTGATAACATCGTATATAGGAGAGCAAACCGTTTACCTTACGTGTATTGTACTTGCGCATCATCTCCAACGTTAACCGCGATATCGCAGGTTGGAAATACGTTTGTTCGGCGTCTATCATTATACGTACGTCTAACTTATCGGCCACCTGTAACGAAAATTTACCAATTCTCCAGCTTGCTAACAAGAGACCTCCGCGCGCGCGTGCCTCTTTCGTCGCGTATTGTTAGCGTTTTTTTTTTTTTCTTAAAGCAATTACATAGGCCTTTTGACAGTGCTTCGACATTTGCTACTTCCTGTTACGTCCAATTTTGTATTGTCCATACCGAGACGATATTATTCAGGCGCCTGATCATGTTCCGGAACATTTCTTCTTCTTTGGACGTGAGCTGCGACATCAGCCTGACCATCTTCCCGGTTTTCATGTCTGGCACTTGAAACGTTTCGCTGAGCTCGTAGTTCTCGTCCAGAATGCCACTCCACGGGAACAGGTGAATGACGCTGCTGTGAACGGAGAAACATACGAGCACAGGGTAATCTCCAGATAATTTTGTGTCTGCGACCGTGCGAAGTCGAAGAAACCAACCGAACGAAAGCGAAATATATTTACGTTTACGTATCGGAAACCGATTAAATGAACGTCGGCGACCACGATTAATATAACATTCATCTGTGTGTGTGTGTATGTCAAATTACCCTTCTTTGTCCGATTGAATCTTTTGTAAGAATTTTTGTACCGGCTCCTCGTCCTTGATGTGTGCCTCTTCAAACTTCTTCATGAAATCATCTCGTTTCGCGTGATGAGTCAAAACGGCGCCTTCGCCGCCGACCACGTCCGACATGTATTGTCGCGCTCGCATAATTACTTCCGACAACTGAAGCTGAAAGTAGTGGTCCAATAATTATTATTTGTTAGCGCATCATTTTCTCTTGGCGATCGATACTCGCGATAGGTAGTGATGACGCGACGCGAACAAGCAAGTTGAACGAAGCTTCTCGGTTGGCTGACACTTACCAAAAGCTGTGGACGACCGAGTGCAGTCAATTTGATCGCGGTGAAACCAACTCCCATCGAGGCAGCTATAGATTCGAGAACAAAGATAACCGGGGAATAAGAACGATGTTAAACAAAGTTGGGAGAGAGTGTTCTGTCCTATCGTAACTGCACGAATCCGTCACTTTTAAGTACTACGTATGAGTGAAACGAGGAGGAGGACGAAGGATGAATCGCGAGGAACAAACAGGAGGAGGGTTTCTCTTACCGATCTCTTCGATATCGGCATCGCATTCGGTAGGAATTCGGGGTTCAAGGAGTCGCAGGTTCAAGGTTTTCCTCTGATCCACTGCAAAACGCTGACAATCAATATGCATTTAACTTATATCGAGATCGGTCAGCTCGGTTCAACTAACGTATCTATTGTTACAGAAGATATTATTCGTTTCGAACGAGGGAGAGTCGTCGCTACTCATTATTTTTTAGAACGATATCGTGCCCGTTCCTACTCGGTGCTTCGGTCGAGTCTAAAATCTCTAGAGCGATTCGAACGGATACCGCTGCGGCACGGCGTTATGTCACACACACACACACACACACATTATTCGACGGTACAGCAGAATACGAGATTCCGAGATAGTAGAGCGTTATTTATAGAACGTGGTCTTGACTCCTGGCAAAATCGTAGACCCTCGTGTTCAAAAATTGCCCAGGGTGTGTAAACCATGTGTGGATCAATCGGTCGTTATAAGCACGTATGAATATGATCAAACGACGATCCAGGTTTCGTACAAACACACACACACACACACACACACCCAAGTAGAATTCATTTGAATACGATTTCAAAACTGTCCTTAACAACAGCCGGATGCCATAAGTACCGATTTCGCAAGTGTCCAAAAAAACTTTCCACGTTGATTTGCATACTCGTCGATCATATCTGTTGCTTGAATACTGATTTAGACACACGTGCCGCGCGTGCCTCGTATCATCGAGAAAAGTAATTCAGGGTAAATATTAATACCATACTGCGATAAAGCTGCGGCAGAATAATCAGCGGTTATCAGAAACAGTTTCTCGACAATGACTACAATCAATTTTCATAGCTTCGCTCTCACCGCCTTGTGCAATTAAATAAGTTGCGTTCTGACACGATTCAAATCCGAAGTCGATAACCAAGCGCTCTTCTACAAAATCCGGTCTATCACGGAGGCATGTGAATAAGAATCGGAACGTCGCCGCGCCGCCGTAGGAGACCGGGTACGATTATTAGAAACGACCAGGTTTATTTCCATCGAGATAATCGTGGCACTTACGTGTCTTCTTTTTTTCCCGATCGGTCCCCGCATTCTCTCCCTAGTACGATTCGATGTTTCACAAATTCTTCATTGACGTTATACAATGCATACGTACGTAAGTACTACGTGGATGCGTGTATTTACAGTCTGATCACAGAAATAATTGGGACGTGAAAACAAATAAAAGGGGTAATGTAAATGAAACGAAGAATAATGATATATATGTATGTGGTGACCCGCGGGACACTGTGTGGCACCGCGGTGGTCACCCAGAAAGCCTAGATCAATTATTATTATAGCTGTTCGACTTGGAATTCTTAGCAGCATGCCAGCAGTTTCTTAGATAATAATTTGGCTGATCGACTCACCGGCTACGGACTCGAGGCATCTGACAAATATGTCCATGTTCCTCTCGCAACTAGCTTCGTTGAGGTAGAAGTACGTTCTCGCCGAGGACACTTTGTACCGGCGATCAGCGAACGGTTTTGCGACATGGTATTTCTTCAAGGGACCTTCCCTCTTCTCGTCTCCGGCTTCTGACACGGAACTCCTGTACATCATCGCAATTACGCGTATCGTCAGTCTCTCTGATTCCACGTGAAATGTAAATGAAACGACGGCGGTTTTACAACGGACATTCATAAAATCACCCGATCGAACATACTGTAATTCTCGTCGTTCCGCTTCTTCTTGAGAGATATCCTCCTCGACGGAGTAATCGAGAATCGGTTTCACGCCGAACTGGCGCAGCCTATCCAGGACAGGAGTGATCTGCACCTCGTCTTCGCCGGCGACAAAGTGGCCGTAAAACGTGGACTTCATCAGCTTGGTGAAAAGTTTCTCGCCGAGTATCTGCTTGCTCAATTTCATTAGCTGCAACAGAAAGCAAACGAGACCGGATTTCACGAACTGCTAAAGCGGTCAAGTAAGATCGATCTTACACCACCACGGCGGCGGTAAATACATTTTCATTTCACTGTATTTTACGACGTTGTACGAGTTTCGAAAAGGCCCGTGCTCTCCAATTAGTGATAAAAAGAAAAAAAAGAAAAAAAAAGAAAATAATGATAATGACAAAATCGGGGTAAAATACCCGAAACAATGCCTGTGGACTATTCGGTTTTCAACGTTCTTCAGTCGAATAGATGGTTCTATAATCGGGTCAAGATCTCGACGAGTAGATCGATCGATCGGGGAGGCACTCGAGACGATTCTACCTGAAACCTCGTCGTCGCCGGGAAGAGATTTGCGACGATGCACGACGGGCAGATCCAGTGAAGATCGTTGAAAAACACGCTAGATTTAATCGATTAAACGGCAAGGGGAAGATGATCTGTGCATCTGGAGACCTAATCGTTCTCCTGGCAACAATGAGAAAATCGTTTCGATGTTGGCGGTGCGTAAGGTAGACCAACCGGACCAACGATTCCCAGTGCAGGACACGTGCAGAACGCCGAGAACCTCGTAAGCGGTCGAACAAACGTCGATTAGAAATAACGAGCCTGAGAAAAATGTCTAAGTACAATTGATATACGATACGGTTCTTTACTTGAAATTTAGTCGTTACGCAACCCTTACGTAAAGCGGAATTATGTGTAGATGCGTACGTCGGTCGGCGGTCACTTTTACACGGTACAAATGTACTTAACAATTACCATTATCTCGAAATAATATCGCGCGAAGGATATGTATTTTTTAAAGCGGGCATGACTTGAAATTCGCATAAATTTGTCATTTTTACGACGAATACTACTACCACTGGTAGAGCACACAGTAGAACCATCCACCGTGTCCGCGAACGTTTTATCACCTAAGAACGGTATATTTATTTGTAACAGTCTAAAATTCCATTTCCAATCATAATAGTCTACGTACTCTCTGCACTGTCAAACTATCGTGTTGCTGCAGCTGCTGCTACTACTGCCCACCCACTCTGATCGTTTCATCGTAACGTTGTTCGTTGGAGAACGTAACGCGTTTCTTGGATACTCGAACTTGCAGAACTTGGCAGCAGACTCATTCAGCCTGATGCGTTCGTATTCGATGCAGACATCGCGCGATCATGAGCCATTGATCAGGGGTGGTACTACATACTACAGTGACTCTGTGTGCGAACAGGCAGGATCAATAATACGGTCTTGGCAAAAACGACCATCCTTAGACTTAGCCAGTAGACGGTAGTCGATAACCGCTATCGTTTTTCGCTGTTGTATATATATACGTTTTACGATTTAACTAAACGATAGAACAAATGGCACATTAGCCCCGACAGCAAACGTCAGGGCGCATTATTTATGCGACATTTACGATGGAATATATCATGTATATATAATTAGATCGATCGTGAAACGCAGCTCAGTCGGTTTATACACTCCACCCTAGACAAATAACAAATATAATACAAATGGACGTAGAAACAGGTGGCACAGTTACACGGAGTACTTGTATTGAATCAGTATTATACACTGTTCTTCTAATAGTGGAGTAGAACGTTCGCAGAACGGAGAGGTTCTACCCTCGCATAGGAGTACTACTAATCATATCGTTGGAACCAGAATAAATGTCAACAGAGTTGACCGATTTCTAGAAACAATATCTCTCCTCATTCAGCAGGACGATATCCCTCGCGTACATGACGATGTCGTACCGTGGTAACTGCGAACAAGAAAATCTATTCATGTCATTTCGATCATCACGCCGATCGAAAATAAACATGTAACGTTGCACGAAATGTTCTTACAATATTGGCAATTCGTCCGTCCGTGTAACAACCAAGACAGCGTGATCAACATTGTCTTACAATTAATTACAATGTGTGATGCAAACGGCAAGAGGCGTAATTGCGATCGTGTTTCCTCATCCGCGATCCGATCTCGGGTAGGTTTCACCAGATAATTTATCATTGAAATCGTAGAAATCGAGCGACAACAAGGGGTAGAAGAAGATTTCGTAACCAGCAGCAGTTACGACCGTGCGCTCCATTCAAGCGATCTCCTACCATCGATAACGACATACACTAACGAGCCGATTGTTATTTATTTCAATTAACCTTTGACGGATTCATCGAATGCCCCCGCTACCGAGTACTACTACTACTACTACTACTACTACCACCACTATCTCTTTATTTATGTAAACCCGATAAGAAAGTTCCGCGAAGATTATTACAGTTTGCTAACGTTCTATATACTCACTGATAAGTACACACAATAACTAATCGCTGGCAGGTATCACTGTTCGGGGTAGACGATAGTACTTAAGATATTATCAAGATTTACGTACAATTACCCGACTCAGATTTAATTTACAAACTTTTTTTATGTCACTATTGGTTTCTAATAAAACACCAATACAATTGACAAATTGATGAATATTCAAATATGAGAACAAGTAGAAGAAGAAGAAGAAGAAGAAATGACAAGCGTGTCCTCGAGAACCATACACGGTCTGCCTCTCTTCGCTGGACGGTCCACGATATCTCGTCGAACACAATCAATGTTGCCAGGATAAACGAGTTTAATTGTAGCTTTCACGCGTTCATAGTATACATAGAGACGGACGTATACGCGTACGTACATCGAAACTCTCACTCGATGTCATTCGCACGCGGAAAATCTCATCCGTGCGTCCTTTAACGTTCATTAACACCCTTCGGCTGCCAGCTGGTCGTGCTGACTAACTTCCTTTCTCTACGATATCTCCTACGACTGTTCTTCGAACCTCGCAAAACAATTCTATCAGATTACAAATTCTCCTGACTTGCAAGCTATCCGTGTGCGATTAGTCATAGTTTTCATCGACAAGCCTCTCTATGAATCGTCCTGGATTTCAACGAATAGACGGTGCCATCATATTCGACGAGGTCAAACGAGTTCTCGCTGTTTCTTCGCGAAAATCAATGCTTTGTTTAAAAAAAAAATTAGTAAAGCACGTGTTGTTCAAAGTATTAGCCGTCATCGTCGGCAACTAGCTTTTTCCATCTTTCTGGCAGCATTAAAAACCCAGGTCCAGGAAAAGTCTGTCCGATCCAAGAATCGATGCATTCTTTGTTGCATTTCATCTTCATATGAATCAAAGTGCCGCTCAACCAGACCATGCGACATCGATCGGAACAAATGATAATCCGAAGGGGTAACGTCTCGACGGGGTAGCACTTCCCATTTAAGGATGTATTAGCTATACAGTCAATCCCAAA